TTTTTTATCTAATCCGATACTTATATCTTCTGTTATACAGGAGGGACAGCATACCAATTTAAGGAACAGATACACTTTTAATCCTTCCAATGTGGATAATAAATACATAAATGTTTTTAAAAATGTTTGTTATGATTTGGATAACTTAAAGGTTAAAAAGGTGCAGCTTTCTATATTTAGTAACCACTAGCCTACTGGGCACTTTTACCCCCTTCCTGCCCAGGCCAATTTTTAGCTTTCAGTGCGGTCACACTTTAAATGACAATTGCACGGTCATGCAACACTGTACCCATATGAAATTTTTATCATTTTTTTTCACACAAATAGAGCTTTCTTTTGGTGGTATTTAATCACCACTAGGTGTTTTATTTTTTCTAAACAAACGAAAAAAAGTCCGAAAAGTTTGGAAAAAAAAGTTTTATGTTTCTATTATAAAATTTAGCAAACAGATGATTTTTTTCCTTCACTGATGGGCGTTGACGAGGCTACACTGATGGGCACTTATAGGCAGCACCGGTGGGCACTGATGAGGAGGCACTGGTGAGGCTGCACTGATGGGTACTTATAGGCAGCACCGGTGGGCACTGATAGCACTGATGGGCACTAATAGGCAGCATTGAAGGGCACTGACTGGTGGCACTGATGGGCATAGAATGGCAGCACAGATTGGCAGCAGCACTGTTGGGCACTGATGGGCACTTTTAGGGCTGCACTGATAATCAGGGCACTTATAATCAGTGCCCTGATTATCAGCGTAGATGTCTTCTTTCACAGTTACCGGTTATCGGCAGTACTGTTACAGCGTGAGGAAAGTATTGCTGATAACTGGCAAGTGATGTATTTACATGATGATTACCTGTGATTCGGCTATAGCACGTTCAAGAAGTGGTTAAAAAAGATATATAAACATTGAAATACAAAAAAGAGGCCAGTTGGCAAAGGGGGGGGGGGGGTATTGTGCTGATGACAAAAATGTTTTAAAAGAATAGACTACTTGAAGATGGGAATACATGCAGGCTGTTAAGTAAGAACCCTATTCGTGAATATAAGGTTGAGTTACAGACTAATTAACAAAAGGTTTAAGAAGAAACATTCTCAATGATAAGGAGGAGCAGTGTCTTTACCCATCCTCACATGTAGAACCCCTGTAATGTACAGTCAGGTCCATAAATATTGGGACATTGACACAATTCTAAAATTTTGGGCTCTATACACCACCACAATGGATTTGAAATGAAACGAACAAGATGTGCTTTAACTGCAGACTCTCAGCTTTAATTTGAGGGTATTTACATCCAAATCAGCTGAACGGTGTTGATTTTAAGTGTAGATTAGTAATAATCTTTTTCCATCATTAACAGGTTTTTTTTTATGCTTGTGGAAGGTGTAAACCATACAATACTAGTCAGTATAACAGCAAAAAAGAAAAGAGTTTACAGCCATGGCCACAGGTAAAACATAAAAAATGAGGCATTTCATCACGTGTATGACGAAAGGGGTGGTATACATGATGGAATGCTCATGTCGTATTCAATATGTTGGAAGGACCTCTAAACTCCTTCAAGTAAGAGAGCAAAAAAAAAAGAACACAGTGTTTCTAAAAATTTCAAACAGGTTCACAATAAGGACCCAAGATGTCTTACATTTTGGGGTATAGAGAAAGTGGTGAAGCATCGGAGAGGAGGGAATAATATTAGGCTGTTAAGCCGACGAGAATCCTTTTGGATTTATGAAACCAAAGTTCTCGCTCCAATGGGTTTAAACGTTAATTTTGACTTAAACTGCTTTATTAGTAATGGCTAATTCAGAGTGTCGAGTAACTATCGGTCATGCAGATTGCTATTTTGTTTTTTAATTTCTTTTCACTTTGCATTTTATATTTCGTATATTACAGTGTCCCCATCTATGTGGGGCTGTTTTTATCCTCTTCCGTGGTTGGGAGATAGTTAAGATGGCTTAAAGCATCAGTTCCGGTTTTCTGTAGAGGTAGTTATAAACTGTTGCTCAGAGTCCAAATTAAATCAAAAAGTCCTTGGACTCTGTAAATTCATATGGTAAGTTCTTATTCTTCCAGGATTATCACCATGAATATCTAAGTACTCAGTTCCTATATCTCCAAGATGATGTGGCCCTCTTCCTCTTTTTCGAAGTATTACCCCTCAAAAAAAATTAAATAAACCGCACATTATCTCTTTCACATGTCATAAATCAAAACTGACTTAAACTCACATAAAAGTGCTCAAATAGTGTCAAAACTTCACCAAGTGCCACCATACCTAATCCGTAGTTCCTACTTTTACCTTTTTACTTTATAAAGGGAGGTCAATCTTGTGAATTCCTCAAGACGTTTGTTCTTATTTCATAAATGATTCTCCAAAAAAAATAAAATTCATATAGTGTAGTATTTTAATGAATAAATATCAAATAGTGCCACTCTGTGCACCCTTAGCCGAACTAGTGACCACCAATCCTTGCACAACACTAAGGTGACCCACCACCTCACGGCTCATGCACCTTACCAAATTACTTCAAGTTATAGCCTTGACTATAAACAATCACTGTGACGATTCTGACCGCCATCACTCTTGCCAATATTCCATTTCCATGTTGGTACATATAATCAAAGCAAAGTAGGCAACCATAGTGTATCAAACCAGATAAATGAATTTATTAAATGTAAAAAGTGCTTACAAGTAGAATGATGTAAATCAACGTTATCATGCAGTTCCTAACTCGGACCTCAACCAAGATGGCTGCCTCTGGACTTCCAGTTTGCATCTGATGTCACTTACTGACGCGTTTCGTCATTACAACTTTGTCATCCTTTGACAAAGTAAAAAAAAAGAACAGTAAAATAAAAGTTTTAACTGGTAGGGCTGTTGCCCACCTACGTATATAGACATATAGTATAGAAAAAAAGTAAAGGTATTTTAAAAGTACACTTCAAGCACACACACACACAAAAAAAAAAAGACCAACCAATTTTTTTTAAAGCTTCTAAAACCTGATTAATCCCACCAGAGTCTGCTTTAATATGCCTCAGCAGTGCCTCTAGGTGGTGTCAATGCATGATCTAAAACTCCCCTCTATTCTAAGCTGAAGGTCTTGTGTCCTCCCCTAGTCATGACATGGAAGACATTAGGACCCAGAGATGGACTCTTTCAATTGAAAGCAACATGGATACTGCACACCGGTTCCAAACTAAAAAACAGAATTCCTGAGACTCAGCCTGACACATGACCCTAGCTTTAGTTATCTAGTTCCAGTAGTCCCACCTAAACATTGGATATCTAATAAATCTAGTAAAGCTGTTGGAACTATACATAGTGCATCCTTTTCAAGCCCTTGAGTGCCTCTCTTGCTTTCTAAGACATGATTTACACTTTTATGCAGGCACCCAGGTGCCATTTTTTTTTATTTGCAGAGATCACCCCTTTAGCTGTCTCTTTCTTTAAATCTCTCTCTCTATATATAACTTTTAACTTTTTTTTCTTCATGGGTTTGGATCTGGTCAGTGGAGATTTGATCTAGACCCCACCATGCAGCAGTGCAGCAACAGATCACTTCTAATAGTGATCTATTGCTGGCTACATTCAGCACCAGATCACTATAACATAGCAGTGAACTGTTGCTATAAGGAGAGTATGGACTGAACTGCAGCTGCTATGTATAAGCTTCCTTTCGCAGAAGAAATGCTGGAACGTCAATCATGACATCACGTTACTTCCATTGTAAACACAATGCAGGAGCATTGTGTTTACAGTGATCTGCTATGAGCAGATATATCAGTATCTGCGTGTTTCTTTTTAAAGATGAATATCATGCATTTAAGGCATTTATAATCTATGTGTTACCAACTGATTTGAGTCGAACAATACATTTTTGTAAAATAATGCTTTTAATTTTACTCAATTGATAAACAGAGCAACAGCTTAGATTCGCTCGATATAGACACACTCACACACAGAGGTATGTTTAATGATCTTCCCTTTTCTGTAGTTTTTTACATCTTATCTCTCCAAGTTTGTCATTCAGACTTGAAAAGGGATCCACCTTCCCTGATTTATTCTGCTGGTAATTGGCAAACAGTGCATGACACGGAATATACATGTATGCAAATCACAATATGAAACCTGGCTAGTAGTCTAGAGTTCCCTTGTTAAGGAAGACATTGAAATTATTTGTATGCCTGGTGTAAACTATATCCAATCATGTGCCACATGGCTGTTTAGCTGCAGGCACTTATTGCTTAATGCATACAAATGTAGGTGCATCGTGGGTAGAACTTTAAGCTTCCCGTGAAAATTAATAGGATTTTCTCAAACTTTTGCCTGAGTAAGCCGTGCAATGAAGTTTTGCCAAGGACTACATTGTATGGGAAAGACAATTTGTTGAAGCGTGATAGCAGAATTTACACTTAGGCTAATTAGGATAGGGGCAATGTGGGAAATCAAATACAGGCAAATAAGAAACTATTTGAATGTGCTATGAGCAAAGGAGAAGGGACAATTCTATGAGTTTGCAAACAACTAGATATTTGCCTGTTTTCAGTCTATGAGGTTAGCTATTCATTATCTTAGCTGAACACAAGCAAACAACTACACAGTTTAAACACATATAGGTGACCTTCCACCATCTGACACCAAGTCCAATTCAGCTATGTATGCTACATAAACGTCAAACAGATTATTTAGCTTAGAAGGTGCTTATCTGTGACAGAAATATCACTTTTTGGTGAACTAACCTTTTAGATAGATAGCACTCTCTAGAAGTTTTGTTGCAGCCAGGTGAAATAAAAATGTACCTGGGTGATACAGAAAGATTAGTGTAAATTCAATGAAAAATGCAAATATGTGAATATTAGTGAAATCTACTGTATATTATTAGTAAATACATACAACAGTTTTTTGCACATACAAGCTCAATATGATCACTGAAAAATGAGTGTGTCACGTTAATAAGTACCAAATATACACTATATTGCCAAAAGTATTGGGACACCCCTCCAAATTATTGGATTCAGGTGTTCCAATCACCTGCATGGCCACAGCATGCAGACTGCTTCTACAAACATTTGTGAAAGAATGGGTCATTCTCAGGAGCTCAGTGAATTCAAGTGTGGTACCATGATAGGTTGCATATGTGCAGTAAGTACATCCGTGAAATTTCCTTGATACAAAATATTCCACGGTCACCCGTTAGGGTTATTGTAACAAAGTGTAAGCAACTGGGAACAACAGCAACTCAGCCAAGAAGTGGTGGGCCATGTAAAATGACAGAGCGGGGTCAGCGCATGCTGAAGCACACAGTGCGCAGAAGTCGCCCACTGTCTACACTGTCAATAGCTAAAGACCTCCAAACTTCATGTGGCCTTCATATTAGCACAACATTGGGTAGAGAGCTTCATGGAATGGGTTTCCATGGCAGAGCAGCTGCATTCTAGCCATCACTGGACTGTGGAGGCATGTTCTCTGGAGTGACGAATCACGTTTCTCTGGCAATCCGATGAACGTGTCTGGGTTTCGCGGTTTCCAGGAGAATGGTACTTGCTTGATTGCATTGTGCCAAGTGTAAACTTTGGTGGACGGGGGATTATGGTGTGGAGTTGTTTTTCAGGGGTTGGGCTTGGCCCATTAGTTCCAGTGAACTCTTAAGGCTTCAGCATACCTGGACATTCTGGACAACTTTATGCTCCCAACTTTGTGAGAACAGTTTGGGGATGGCCCCCTTCCTATTTCAACATGACTGTGCACCCGTGCACAAAGCAAGGTCCATAAAGACATGGATGAGCAAGCTTGGAGTGGAGGAACTTTACTGGTCTACACAGAGTCCTGATCTCAACCTGATAGAACACCTTTGAGATGAATTAGAGCGCAGACTGCGAGCCACGCCTTCTCATCTGACCATCAGTTCCCATAGATACTCTCCAAACCTTGTGGACAGCTTTCCCAGAAGAGTTGAAGTTGTTATAACAGCAAAAAGGTGGGCCAACTCAATATTGAACCCTATGGAATAAGACTCTTCATGTGCATGTGAAGGCAGGCGTTCCAATACTTTTGGCAATATAGTGTGTTTGAGCTCAAAATCCTATACCCTTTGCAAAACATTGAAAAACTACAATATATTGTAAGTAGGTAATATATTTTAAAAACTTCAGAGTTAGACCTAAGTAATAGCCCCTAAAGTATTATACCTCTGGCATGCTTGAGAAAACCTAATATGTGTTGCACCATAGGCATTTAGGTATTGTAAGGGGGCATACTCAACTGGTATAGACAGCAATAAACCATGCACAATGCAGGGCCAGACAGAAACAGGGCAATCAGATTTGTCCTGCACTTTTATTTAGCAGGGCAGCAAACACAGTTTTCATGTCATGAGGGCTTTCTAAATCCTTCAGAACTGTCTGATCAAAAGGTAAAACCTTATTGACTCTAGTGCCCACTTTATGGAAAGATACTACTTTCCCACTATTGAATGTTCCTTTCTGCAGGGGTCAGATGGGTTTTTCTACTGGATGTCCATCCCCATTAATTTCTGGGGACATAACTTCTCCCAAGCTAATATCACTGTGGTAGACTCGCTTCCTTTGGTGAGATCAGAAAGTGGATCTGCTATATTAGCATAACATATTAGTTTTGTTTTGCCCTTCACCAATGCTGCATCCCAGAAGGCTTCTTGCAGGCCTGTGGCATATTTTTTGTGATTGTCTGTTAACCCCAGTCTTACAAACAGAAAATAAAAGTACCTGGACCTACTCTGTGGGAATCCCTCAGCCTTACGAATGAAAAATAAAAGTGCTTTGACCCATTCTTTGGGAATCCCAGTCTAGACTGGCATAAACCAGATTTGCAAAATCATATGCTTTAGGAGCTTAAGAATTAGCTCCATCATTCCTCAGATTCCAAGTAAGCCAAAAAGGGGTTATGGGTGGCGGTGGGGGGCATGTAGTGGAATGGCTATTGGCAGGAACCAGCCTTTCTATCAACTCATCCACCTGGGGTATGGGATAAGTGTCGAATCATCTGGATATTTCATTTTGTTTCCTGAAGTCGTTACAGAATCTTAGGGTGCTAGTTGGGTTAGGGATGAGCACTATGAAACTTGACCACTCACTGTTAGATTCCTCTATGACCCCAAGTGCTAACATTTTTTGTACTTCTTCTGACATGACTTTTATGTGAGCTTCAGGTACCCAATAAGGTCTTGTCATGGCTAATTACTTTAGTTCATTGAGGTAATTCAGAAAATACACCTACATTTTTCTGCAAAAATTCTCTCACCTTCGGAATATGAAATGTAAACAGGGTCTCTGACATCGTAATGTCTGGTATATTTTTCACTGATAAAATTTAAGTTATCTTAATGTTGAAATAGCCTAACAATCCTTTCAGTGTTTTATTAGGTTAACATTTGGAGGGCTTTCTCTTTCCAGGCTGGTAGCTGTTAGTTGACATTACTGATTTTCATTTTAAAGCTTCTAATTTTAGCAAAGTAGTTATAAATTCTGCCCTGAGCCTCTTGGGCTTGCTGTAGATGTTTCTGAACTATAGGGCATGAATGTAATTATCGTATCTTGCGTCTGAGTGATGTGTTTGATTATACTTTTGTGAAGTGTGGCCTCTTGCTTCCATGTTTCCCCAGGCTACATCCAGGAATCCGTTGGAATGTATACCATACAAAAGTTCAAATGGAGAAAACACTGTGGCACTTCCTTTATTGCAGATTTTAACTTATGGTAACAGGAAGTCCTAGTCTTTTCTGTCCTTATTAACCACTTTTTTAACATATTTTTTAGGGTTTTATTGGATTGCTTAGCATGTCAAAATTTATTTAGGTATACTGGTACACGAAATTTTGTCTCATGGCCTTTTTAACTATAACTTTGGAGAATGTGTTGAGTGGCATAGCTTCTGGGTACTTGGTGGATTAGTAAAGGACTACCAATATATGCAGAAGTGGCTCAACCGAATCCATAGAAATCCACTGTAAAGGGCCCTCAGTTGTAGGCGAGGGTACCAACAGACTTCATAAATGTGTTTGGGGTGCAAAGTTTTTGACACTTATGGCAAGATTTTCAATATTTCTCAACTGCTTTGTTAATTGTAGACTTTAAACACTGTTCAGTACACTCTTTTTTTCTAACCCTAAATGACCACCCAAAACATAAAAATTGGCCAGATCCAACACATCCATATGTGAGAATGGATAACCATCACTTGCTCCCATTCTCTTTTTACATGATACTGTAAGACTTCATTCACATGGATGTACCTATCCGTACACCTGTGTGCAGGGCCATCTTCAACCCACTTCTCCTTAAGTAGTGTCTCATGGTCAGTGACTCACTCAGAAATGCTGAAGTAGGCTTCAACATTATTCTTCATGGACAGTTTCCATAAAATGCTCTGCGCCATCTGCCGAGGTGTAAAAGTTATCCTAACAGGGCCTGTATCTGTTGCTGGAGAGACTGGTTCACTTTCTGTTGTTCCCTAAGGAGACCCAGTGGGCTGCAGTCAGCTGTTGCAATTGTTGGGCGCTTAAGTGGTTCAGCCCCTTGCTACTTAACATTTTCCAGTATGACCTGTTTTACAAGCTCCTCCATTTTGTTCAGTAATAGGGATCTGTCTCTTTAATGCAATGCGCGCCTAACTGCAAAATTGTATGGGGGACATGCAATAGTAAACCGCGCATGAGACAAAGACAGGGGGAACAGTCCAAGCTGCTTTGTCCTGCACTTTTGTTCAGCGATGCCACAAACTTATTTGTTTTGTATGCAGGAGGGATTTGTATGGCAAGTCTATAGTATAAAACAAACAAAACATCTGCTCACCCAACCCACCAACTAAGCTAAAGAAAGCTTCTGACTAACAGGGTGCCCCCAGTGGGTTTCTCAAAACAAACATGCAGCACATGATCCTGTTTAGTGCTCTGTCACCACTCGACCTTTTCACCCAGCAACAGGCTCCCACAGCATAGAGAGCAAGAGAAGGGAGTCTCTTGTTGAGTCTACTAATGTAGTCTGGTTACCAGGCAAAATGTGGACTAAGGAATAGAGGCTTTATCCTATATGAAGTTCTTCAAAGCATCCAGGCTGTAGAATCTAGGACAGGATTTATTAGATTTATGAGAAAACACAAAGTTTGTTTTCTCCACATCAGTCAAAAAACATGGAGGGTATGAGTATGTGTAATACTTAGGTGACAAATACACACTGTCCGCAATCACACAAGGCATTGCCTCCTAAATATGTATATCCCTCCTAAATGCACAGGAGGGGGGGTCTAATAGATATTTTGCATTTTGTTCAGTTATATATTTAATTATCATTAAATGACCGATACTACTTTAGGATATCAGAGGTCTGGTGGGCCCTTGATTTCTCCTCTTTCTCCAGGTTAGGCGTCTGCTGCTTACCTGGCCACTACAGTCTTCTGAATCCTTCTGCAGTGGTCCTTTGCTTATAGAGGAACTTGTAAGCCCATGAACCACAATTGGGGCATCAGAAAGCAGTTCAGGCTCTGCAATGTTCTCCCAAGGGGGTTTTTGCCACACAGACACCAAAACCAGCTTGGTGTAATGTTTACAGCTAAACAAAATTATCACAGTTAAAGTGTAGGTTAACCCATTATTTCGTATTTCTGATATGTGTATGTTGTACCATGTGCTTGTGTTAAAACATATTCCGTTCGCTTTGTATTTTTTCTTTGTGTGAAATCCCTAGTGATCCTGCCAGTCAGTCTGGTTTCCTATTTCAAACTGACCATGCTCAGCATGGAAACACATCTTTCCTAGCTTCACTTTTCTGGCTGTGCTGAAATAACAGCCTGCCTTTCCTTCAGTGGCCAAGACTTGATACACCTCTCTCTACAGCTAACCAATGGGAAGCTCAGTGCATTGCTCATTCTCTGCCTCCTGCAATGGAGTCTTGCGTGGTGAGCGTGCATACAGGTCATGGCGAATGAGTGCGTCACTTACTGTTTTCTTTGATACAATTGCATCTGCTAATTCCAGGTCTTTCTGAAGCTCTCAACAAGTGG